CAGCAATTCTCCTAGCCAGGAAGGTTTTTTCTAGTTAGTATTTTGCTTTCATTTTCTCCAGATTTTGAACTTCCCTGTTTCCCTGCTCTGCTTCCTGGACCATTCTTGGAACTTATTCCAGTCACCATGGTCTCCTACCTTACGGCTGCCCCTGAAATCTGGGAATATGCCAATAAGGAAAGTATTTACTCCTAGTACTATCTGAAGATCTTTCTGACCCAGATCCAAAGGTCTGAACCCTGACTATGACCTCGAGATTCTGTTTTGAGATTCCTAGCTTTGTATGTATGTGGTGGATTTGTTTTTGGTTCTTGCTCTGACACCTGATTTTCTGGAGAGGATTTTGTGACCTCTTATAATTCCCAAACAATACCCTAGGTCCAGATAATGGTTCTAGGGTTAAGTTTAATGATAAATACCTGTAGCCTAAGGGCCCCTTGCTGCTAATGTTGATCTCAGTCTTCAGTTTGGTGCTACTCTCATTAAATCCTTTGTCTTTCAGCATCTTAACTATGTGGAAGGAAAACATCACCCATATTCCTGAGTTCATCCTGGTGGGTTTCCCTACCTCCCATTGGCTACAGGTTCTGCTCTTTCTCCTCTTCCTCATCACCTACTTGTTTGTGCTGCTGGAGAATTTGGTCATCATCTTCACTGTATGGGTCACTGGGTCCTTGCACAAGCCCATGTACTATTTTCTGGGCACCATGTCTTTTCTGGAGACCTGCTATATATCTGTCACAGTCCCCAAGATGCTGGCTGGATTCCTACTTTGCCCCAATACCATCTCCTTCCTGGGATGCATGACCCAGCTCTATTTCTTTATGGCACTTGCCTGTACTGAATGTGTGCTCTTGGCTGCCATGGCCTATGACCGTTACGTGGCCATATGTTGGCCGCTCCGCTATCCACTCATGATGACCACAGAATTTTGTGTTCAGCTGACCTTCAGTTCCTGGGTGAGTGGCTTCACCGTCTCCATGGTAAAGGCTTACTTCATCTCCCAAGTTTCCTTCTGTGGCAATAATATCATAAACCATTTTTTCTGCGATGTGTCCCCCATCCTCAAACTGGCCTGCATGGACTTTTCCATCGCTGAGATGGTAGACTTTGTGCTTGCCATCATCATCCTTGTGTTTCCTCTCTCAGCCACTGTTATTTCTTACGCCTTCATTGTCTCTACCATCCTGCTCATTCCCTCTGCCACTGGACGGCGGAAGGCCTTCTCCACCTGTGGCTCTCACCTTACAGTGGTGGTC